CTGCTCTGCGCTCCTGAGTCTCAGGGGTCCGACCCCGCCTGGGGGCCCCAGGCGCTCTGCGGTCCACACACCTTCACATCCCCATCGAAGTTCCCTCCCCCGAACCGCGAATCCTACTACACTCTAGCGCGGGATCCCTAGCTCAGCCCAATTTGGGGGCCTCGGTCTTCCTACCAACCCTTTCCGGGGACCCAGGAGACCGGCTCCCTGTCTCTCGTTCTTACCCCCGTCCTGCAGGGGCTGCGGCTTCTCTTCTCAAGGGGGTGGGGCCTCTCTCCCCTTTTGGCCTCGGCTCCTTTATCTGGCCGGGATGTCGGGGGCGGGGGTGGAGGTGGGGTGGACGCCTGGGTCGGTATCCTTCCTTCCTCCGGCGCTCTCCAGATGGCGAGCCCGGGGCGGGGTCTCCGGCTCTGGGGCGGGACCTCAGAAACGCTGGGTGGTCGTTAACCTAAGGGGTCTTGGGTCACCGAAGGTGGAATCATCGGGGATGGGACGTTCGAATTGGGGAGAAGACCGGGGACATCGAGGGTGGCATTAGGGGTGACTGGGTCGTGGGGGTGGGAATCTGGGGCCGCGAAAATGGGTGTGTTGGCCTTTGGAAGGGGGTACCAGGAGCCTGTTGCGGGAGAGTGAACACAGCGAAACTCCCCAAAGCACAGCACTACGGGGCGTAAAGGAGAGCCCGACGGCGCACCAGATTTGGGGAGGCTATAGTGGGGCTCCCGTGGGGTCTCAGGCTGAGGAGGGGTGGTGTGAATGACAGGTCCCTCTAGCATGGCCTACCAGAAGGGGGACTCTGACCGGGCGGGGTAGGGAAAGGGCGGATATGATTTCTAGTTTGTTTCCTTCCATTGTCCTGCGACCGGACGGCTCCTCCAGCTGCTTCCCCTCGAGGAGGTGGGGAAAGTCCCGGGTGGGAGCCGAGAGACGCTCAGGAGACCTAAGCGTCCGGACTCTCGCTCCCGACTCCCTTCAGAATCCTTTTAGGGATCCAGAGAGAGAGACAGACTCACACCCAAAGCCCGCTCGCCCTCCCCCAATCCCAGCCCACTAGGGCCTCGGGCACCCGTGGGTCCGCTGGCTAGGAGGCTGGCGGGACGCCGGGGTCCAGCGCGGCAAGCGAGCGAAGCTCGGCAATGTTTGGCTTCTTCCA